TGGATTCCCAGCAAAATGGTGCCAAATATTTTAAATATCAAGGACAGATGTAACATGCCACAGGCTGCTGACAGATGTACCCAAGCAACCCCATTCTCTAAATAAATTACTGCCTTAAAAAGGACATATTTTAAATTGTTGAATTTTTCTAACAAAAATTAAGATGCTTATAATATGAAATTCAGATCTTATTTGCCTTTTCTAGAACTTGAAATAGAAGTTCTTTAAAGGAACTGATTCAGTGAGGAACTGAGATTTGCTGGGAGGCAGGGTGGGGAAGATGGAGAAGCCTGATGACCATTTAGGAATGGTAACTACATTCCAGTAAATGTTCTAGAGAAACATCATATATGAAAATACCTTGACATTCTTGTGACTTACCTTGAGTTGCTTGATGAAAACAATCAAAATAGAACACAGCCGAAACCGGTTTGGCTCAGTGGATAGAGCGTCGGCCTGCGGACTGAAAGGTCCCGGGTTCGATTCCGGTCAGGGGCATGTACCTTGGTTGCGGGAAGATGGAGAAGTCTGATGACCATTTAGGAATGGTAACTACATTCCAGTAAATGTTCTAGAGAAACATCATATACTCTCCCTTTCTCTCTGTGAAAAATCAATAAAATATATTTAAAAAAAAAAAAAAAAATAGAACACAGTTCAGTCCTGCCCAGTGTGGCTCAGTGGATAGAATATTGGCCCGTGCAGGGAAGGGTCTTGGATTTGATTCCCAGTCAAGGGCATGTACCTGGGTTGCCTGTTCGACCTCTGGCCCCAGTCGGGGCACTTGCTGGAGGCAACCAATGTCTCTTTCTCATATCAATGTTTCCTTCTTTTTCCCCCTCCCTCCCTTCTAAAATCAACGGAAAAAATATCCTCGGGTGAGGATTAACAAAACAAAATAGAACACAATTCAATGTTAACAGTACTGGAAAAAATGTTAACTTTATTCACATAGGAATTTATTAACAAGATTAGAAGCACTTGAAAGGTTAGGCTCCTCCTCTGTGAAATGCTGCCCAAGGTCTCAACCCTCCCCAAAAGAACCCTGGTTCCCACTGATCTGGTAGCCCCAAAGCCCCATTCCTGGCCTCTCAATCCCCTGCTATCTCAGCACCTCCTCCTCCTTCAAGCTGTACGATTCCTCAGAATCAAAGCCCAGGAAGAGACTTTGGGCTATGTCTCAAGTGTGGCCTGGCCCATTGCACCAGCAGGGTACACTGTCCATGCGCAGTGGTTTTGGCTTCTTCCTGCTCCCAACACAGGCTACAGGCCTGTCACCTCAGTCTCCTCCTAATCAGAACACACTATCTGTGCCTCATCAAGCAAGTCAAGTCAGAGCAGGCATCAAGATAGCACTTTGCATCCTTGCGGCTATCTGCAGGCCTTGCAGGGTAAGGAATACAGCACTAAAGAGCAAGCACTGTCCTTGCCTCCAGATCAGGGCTCAGCTGTGTGTGGCATCCCATGGGAACTACACCAGGAGAATGGTTACAGGATATCCATCCCTCCAACCTGTTTTCTTTAGAAATGATATTTAAACGACAAAATGTAAAATACCACCAATGGAAATGGTAGATTCTACAAAGGGGGCGTTGCTGGAACAATGTTTATTAGGGAGTTTCCTGGAGGTGTTTTCAGGGTCAACAATCACATTGAAAACCTACCCTATGCCAGGCACATGTGTACTTCCTTTAATGTTCACAATGAATGGAAAGACATTTTATCCCCACGTTACAAAGACAGGCCTAAGAAGGGTGAAGTTCCCCAATTTTGGTGGTTTTCTTGTTCTGCTTTTTGATCAATTGCTCATCTGTCTAAACTAAATTTGCCCGATTCCACAGTAAGACTTCTACAAGGTCAGAGGAAGTACCAGGATTGGAACCCACCGGAGCCTAATCCTTCTCTTCCCAACAGTTCAGCTGCCTCCCTCCACGCACTGCTCCCAATACAGAGGTGGCAGGAGAAAAAACCCGGATGTAGACCTGGTGAAAGTCTACATCTCAGGGCCTGCCAAAAGCCCTTACCACAGGTGACCCCTTAAACTCTTCATGCCCTGAGAGGCAGCTATCCTTCCAAGATAGGAGAGTGGCAGGCACAACCTGCCTTTCTCAGCAAAGTAACTGACTGTGAACCCTTCCCCTTTTTTACCGGTGTGCTGTATTCTTTCTCTTTGGGTACATTCTCTGCCATATTTCCCCACCTAACAAGAATGGCTCCTCCATCTGTGACAGAAAGGGAAAAAGGCTAAACAGCAGCACACATGAGCTTAGGACCACATATGAAAACACTTTCAATGGGCCTATTTCCCCATCTGTTTTACATGAGTATAATAAACACCTGCACAGCACCACAATTAGCTGAAATTCAGAAGCTAAACCTCTTGGATTCAAATTCTGGCTCTGACCTTGGTAGCTGTTTAGTCTATCCATGCCTCAGTTTCCTCATCTGGAAACTAAGATGGAGATGATAGAGGCACTTGTCTCTCAGAGTTGTTGTGAAAATTAAATCACTCTATATGAAACATCTAGAGTCACTGGAATACAGCAATCTCTAAAAATAAGCATTTGCTTTACAATGCTACTGCTAGTGTCACCAAATAATCCCCCAAATAAGTGTTCATTCACCAAACTTCCTAATTTCTACAACTGCTGGTAGGTGTACAGGATGATGTAACCTTTATGGAAAGGACTATGATCATCTCAAAACAAAAACTACAGATGTACCTTTATTTACCTTTTGACTAGGACAGGGTGGGGAACCTTTTTCTGCCAAGAACCATTTGTAAATTTATAACATCATTCGAGGGCCATAGAGAATTTAGTATCAACTTAAAAATTAGCCTGCTGCCCTTGCTGGTTTGGCTCAGTGGATAGAGCGTCAGTCTGTGGACTGAAGGTACCTGGGTTAGATTCCGGTCAAGGGCACATGCCAGGGGTGCAGGCTCAATCCCCAGTAGGGAGTGTGCAGGAGGCAGCCCATCAATGACTCTCTCATCATTGATGTTTCTATCTCTTCCTCTCCCTTCCCCTCCCCTCTGAAAGAAATAAAAATATATTTTAAAAAATCAGCCTGCTATATTTGGTCAAACATTTAATTAACTCACCCCTAATGCCTTGGCAGGGCCAGACCAAATGTTCCCCACCCCTGGACTGGGTAGAACCACTGCTAGGAAATTACCCTGAAGATACATCTCCACAAGTAAAAACAACGTATGCACAAGGCTATTTATTGTGGCATTATATAAACACATGACTGGAAATGTCCTAAAAGTCCAGGTATGGGAGACTTGTTGAATCAACTATGGAACATCCACATAATTGAGTACTATGAAGCCATAAGAAAGAATAAAGACAACTGATATAAATCAAGTTTCAAGCAATGTTAAATATTTTAAAATTACATATTGTATGCCCACTGAAAGGGCCTAGATGGAATAGCACCCAGTGCCTATAGTCCAGATCAGCGGTCGCCAACCTTTCGGACCTCGCAGACCACATGGACCACTGGTTGGTGACCACTGCTCCAAAGGTTTCCTTAAACCAGCAGTCACCAACCTTTCGGACCTCATGAACCACCAGTGGCCCACGGACCATCGGCTGGCAACCGCTGGTCCAGATCTTAGTTTCTAATTTCCAATCCCCACTAAAGGGAACCAGGACTCCTTGGGAAAATGGCTGATTCCAGGTGAAAGGTAGGGAAATGTAAGATTAGCATGGAACATCTTTCTGTGACAGAAAGGAAATGTTCAAAGACCAGTTGGGGGAGAGGGGTGTCCATAGGGCACAGCTAAGAGTCTAGTATCTAGAATATAAAAAGAACTCTTACAACTCAATGATAAAATGACAATTTTTAAGTGAGCAAAAGGTATGAATAGACAATTCTAAGATATACAAATGGCCAATAAGCATACGAAAAAAAATGCTCACCATCATTAGTCATTGAGACACCACTTCACATCTACTAGGATGACTATAATTAAAACAAACAAACAGAAAACAAGTGTTGACTAAGATGTGGAGAAATCAGAACCCTTACACAGCCCTAGCTGGTTTGACTCAGTGGATAGAGCATCAGTCTGCAGACTAAAGGGTCCCAGGTTCGATTCCAGCCAAGGGCACATGCCCAGGTTGCGGGCTCGATCCCCGCCGAGTAGGGGACGTGCAGGAGGGAGCCAATCAATGATTCTCTCTCGTCATTGATGTTTCTCTCTCTTCCTTCCTCTCTGAAATCAATTAAAAAAAAAAAAAAAAGAACCCTTATACATTACTGTTGGGAATGTAAAGTGGTTTAGCTGCTATGGAATAGTTTAGTGGTTCTTCAGGCAACATAGAATTACCATATGACACTGCAATTCCACTCCTAGATATATTCCCCAAAGAACACGTTTATATAAAAACATATATGAATGTTCATAGAAGCATTATTCATAATCAATAACTGGAAACCCAAATGTGCATTAACAGATAAAATAGGGGTTTATCCATGCAATGGGACATTATTCAGCCATAAAAAAGAGTAAATTACTGATACATGCGACAAGATGGATAAACCTGGAAAACATTATCCTCCTATATAATAATAAAGGCTAATATGCAAAATTGTCCCCTTGGGAGTTCAACCATGAGTTAGATCGCTCACCATGATGTGCGCTGACCACCAGGGGCCAGCGCGGAATATGGTGGGCGAGCAGCGGCGGGGGGGGGAGTGGGGGGGGCAGGGAGGGACGACGACACTGAGGAAGCAAGGGAAGGAGGTGGTGGGGAGGGAGGTGGAGAACTGGATCGGGCATGATTACCGGCCAGGCCTAGGGACCCTACCCATGCACGAATTTCGTGCACCAGGCCTCTAGTGCTAAAATAAAAGAAGCCAGACACAAAAAGGCTACATATTGTATCATTCCATTTATGTAAAATATCCAGAGTAGGCAAATCCATAGAGAGATTTGTGATGGCCAGGGAATGGGGAGATGGGAGAATTAGGACTATTAGGTATAGGGTTTCTTTTGAGGGTGATGGAAATGTTCTGGAATCTGATAGTGGTAATGGGTACACAACATAGTGAATATACTAAAAAATCCCTGAAATCAACATTTTAAAGTGGATTTGAAGTTGTGAATTAAATCTCAATTTAAAAAAAAAAAGACACAGCTAGTTGGAGGAGATCACCACTCTTCAAATCTGGGGCAAGCTAAGCATAAAAAATACTGAGTTATTAGATTATAACACTTTGAATTTAAAAAATAAAACCAAATTCATAGTAAAAATCACAACCCAAAAAGAACAGAGGGTAGAAAACTCTTCTTTACAGATGAATGCCAGCTAATAAATGTAGAAGGCATGATGAAATAAGAAAATTACCATTTAAGAACTCCTAATGTGATAATTAACTAACTGGTGAATTTATATAAAAGAACATTAGAGTTCACTATACTTCTCTTTCAACTTTTCTGGAGGTTTACAATTTTTCAAAATAAAATGTTGGGGAGAAAATTTGTATACTAAATCAGCTTTAAAGAACAAACCCAACATGCTTAAACTATAACAATCAGAAATGCAATGATGTCTAATACAAAGAATCTAATTTTCTTGAACATATTTTACTATTCCCATTATGATATAGTTGCTCTGCAAGTCCTCTATGAATCCTCAAGGCTTCTAAATTAGTTAAATGAAAATCACCTAGCCCAATTCAGACAATCAAAAATTTATCCAAGAGGAAAGAAAATAGGTTGGACAACTCACAAACCCCACTGTGCTTTACCCACTACGTGGAACTCCACATACCTCAAAATAATGGCTTTCAAATGTTTTTTTTTTTTTACAAAATTTCTGAGAATTTCGAGAGGTATTCATTTTTAGCTACAGGGCAGACACCCCACATGTTGAGCAGACAATTCAATGTATCTCCAATGGGAAGATTTGTCATAAAGAAAGTCACCAAAAATTGTAAGCAGTCTGGATTCATGTTTATTGAAGCCAGTAATTAGAGACATCTTCTTTCCCAGCACTAGAAAGCAAGGTTCCACATGACTGCATACTGCATCTGGATAGAGCCACCCCCCTGGACCAAGCCTGCTCGGGGAATAATCTGCAGTCCTAATTTTAAGTGAAAAACACCAATAAACTTAGTATAGAGACAACAGTGAACTTTCACTTACAGTATCAACATTGTTAAGGTCATGATGTACAGAGCAGTCACTTTCAACTTTGTTAAAACTAATGAAACGCGAAGTCTTCAATTTAAATACTGATTTTAAAATGCCAATCAAAAAAAAAGTGCAAACAAAATTAAATAATTCTAGCAGCATACCCGTTGCATTTTTAGGAAAGAATAACTCATGGCCTCGATAAGGCCACATCTTCAAAACTGGGCTTATTTCTTTGATTTTTCCATTTTAAAGACAAACAGCAGATGTAACCACTATAATGTATATAAATAGTCATAAAATTCTATTTAACAGTCTACCATACAAGTGTATTCTGCAAATAACATGAATTTTACTTTAAAAAGTAAAGGCTGTTTATTGTTTGGCCTTTGGTTCCAATGCTTGAAAGCCCCAAAATAACAAAAAGACCCTCCCATCCCCCCCACCTCCCAAAAAGAACCCTGCAGCTCCCCAAAGTTGGTAGACTTTGGCAACCACTAAGCACATGACACTATGCAACAGTTCCTTCTGATACTAGGAGCATCCATTTGCCATGAGAAATTAAAAGTGGTTTCCAAGAAACCCTCCTTCACAGAACACAGGTGCCTTAGCATTTCATCGGTTTTAGTACATTTTACAGTGACACAAAAGTGCTTATCAGTTTAAATCATAAAAAAATAAAATAAACGAAAAGTAAAATGATGCTTTGAAATTTAAAATCACTCCATATCCCCCTTAGGCATGTGCCTTTCCAAGAATCCTTTCTCGTTCCTGAGGTCACTCATTTTGTGCCCCACTCCCAGACCCTACAGAGGAATTAAGTGACCCCACCACTAGTGTGGTCACAAGCTGTTGGGCATCTAGTGGTCACTACCCCACAACTATCACTCCACAGTCAGTTTACTGTCATTACCTGGACAATTTGGTAATTGGAAACCACAATACATTAAAAAAAAAACCCTGAATTTAAAAAGGGTAAAAAAGTATATTTTCAACAATAAAACTGGCACAAGAAACATGTTTTATGTTTGTCAGAAAGGCAAGTAAATACTCAGCTTTCTCCTTAACAGTGTTCAGACCTTTACAAAAAAGCAATTCAAGACAGTTTTAGAGTCTTGTTCTATAACATAGGATATTAAGTTATGCCCAGTACTATGTTAGTGGTCAGTCAAATCTTGTATGTAAAAGTAGTAACATTAGGGAAGTTATGCTCAGACACAGTACAATAAACATTCATATAAAAAAAGTAAACTCCACATAAATGAACTGTGGTTTTTCCCTTGGTTTGACAACGAATGTTTTAGACATTAAATTAATGGTAGTGCTTACATTTAAAAGTTCTGTATCATGTATAAAATTAAAAGTGCCATTTCAAATCCACAGAAGTCATTTCCAGAATGGTGTTGTGACATGATAATGTGCATGAATTTGCCCTAAATGGAGACACCTGAAACTCTTATTTCCATAAGAAAAAAAAAAAAGCTTCATTTTATGAAAAACACAAAACAAGAAGTATATCATCTTCATTTTCAATATAAAACATTCATTTGTTTGTCCATCTCATAGCACTGATCAGACCAGGGAGCTAGGACAAGACCCTTTTGCACATGATGGCTTCCACAGACAGTAAGGCAGGGATTGGTGCAAGCCAATTAATCAGTGTGCAATTACATTAAAAACCTCCCTCAAACTTTCTGTAGTACTTTGCATTATAGTAAAATGAGAGGTTGGTCACCCATTCTCTATTTGTAGGCCAGCCTGTGGTAGTAAAAAAAAAGAAAAGGTTTTTGAAATTTAAAAAACAGAGCAGGAGTTATTAAAAAAAAACACTATTTAAAGTAAACTAATTTTGTAACTGCCGACTTTAAACACATCCCAGTGACTGTCTGCCCCACAGTGCACATGCATGGAGCCCAGCACCTCCCATGAGAACATGGCCTCGGCCAAGCACGTGAGTCCGGGGAGGCTGCCATCTTCCCCATCCCTGTGTCAGCTCCACCTGACTCAGGCACACCCACACTTAACACATCTTTCATAAATTAAAGATGCATTCAGAACAAGTCTAATTCCCATTTTGCTTAGTGTTTAGTTTGGAAATGCTTCTGATATTAAGTCTTAAAAATGATTATTCAACTTCTACCGAACACACAGTATTTACTAACACTGCTCATCTCCTCCTTCCTTCACCTCCTTCAACGTTCAGCTCCCCCACCATCACTTCTCTCATTCCTCCTTTAAGCCTTTTTTGTTTCCTGGACTTTCTGCTACTTAATCTGCTTCCCAAGAACAAGTGAATTTGCTAGCACGCACCTGGTCAGACTAACCATCTGATCAATGATTTCCTGGTCTCATTTGCTCCGCCCTGAAAGAAAGAGGGCTCTCTCTCTCTTCATCTACCTTCCCCTCCACATGAAGCCCCAGCTGCACTTGCTTCCCACGAGAGAGCAACATGCCTGCGAGTCCAAGGTTATCCTTAACAAAGGGATCTGACACATAACCTTCCTAAATGTGCAATTCACACTCGGACAAGCCAATGAAGTTTTTTTTTTAGAGTTCATCTCCCCTGCCCCAAAAAACTGATAGCATGTGCCGTATCAGAAAAATCCTGGTCTTAGCAGATCAATATACATAGTTATTTGGTCATTTTACATATGCACTTTTAAGGAGGATCAGGCTTCATTTTCTGTTGAAGAGTTTGTTACCATGGAGTCTGGTTTTCGAGTCATCCTATCCAGTTCTTCTTGAACATTTGTCAACACAGTCTTTTGTCCTTTAAAAAAAAAAAAGCAATGATGGGTTATTGAAAAAAGCCTTTTTTCATTACAATGATTATGAGGCAGACCTAAATTCAGTCCTTCATTATTCAAAATGTCACAGGTCTCTGTTCCCCCAACCAAATAATTCGTATTTCCTACCAGGGGATACCAGCTCACAGCCTGGGCCACCAGACCAGATTCTGAGTCCACAAGAACTCAGGAGCCCCTGAAGGCCCAGGCTGACCTGAGGATAGAGTGATTCCCTGATGGCATTCTTTGATACGAAAACACCCATTAAGGAAAACACTGTATTAACATATCGTACAGCCAATGGAAAATTAAGAGCCAAGAACTTTTAAAATGGCCTCAAGTTTCCAGGGAAAATGTGTAATTCCCAAGGAACTTGATTATTTGTTTCAGAGACTTCTAAGATATAGACTTGCTCTAAAGACATAAAGGACAGATGGAGGGGGGTGAGGTTCATATGCAGGAAAAAATTACAACCCTCCAGTGAGACAGTGTGTTCACAGCTCCAGCACATGGTAAGACTGGGGGGCAGTAAACAAAAATCCTTGTAAAGCATCACAAGAAATTAAATGAGCCCTAACCAGTTTTGCTCAGTGGATAGAGCACTGGCCTGCGGACTGAAAGGTCCCAGGTTCGATTCCGGTCAAGGGCATGTACCTTGGTTGCGGGCACATCCCCAGTGGGGAGTGTGCAGGAGGCAGCTGGTCGATGTTTCTCTCTCATCGGTGTTTCTGACTCTCTATCCCTCTCCCTTCCTCTCTGTAAAAAATCAATAAAATATATATAAAAATAAAATAAAATAATTTAAAAAAAAAGAAATTAAATGAATAAAATGCCAATGGTACACTCTAGACCAGTGGTTCTCAACCTTCTGGCCCTTTAAATACAGTTCCTCATGTTGTGACCCAACCATAAAATTATTTTCGTTGCTACTTCATAACTGTAATGTTGCTACTGTTATGAATCGTAATGTAAATATCTGATATGCAGGATGGTCTTAGGCGACCCCTGTGAAAGGGTCATTCGACTGCCAAAGGGGTCGCGACCGACAGGTTGAGAACCGCTGCTCTAGACCATGACCTCCAATGGACAGAGCTTCTACACCAGGGGACATGTATAGGTTAGGACCTACCTCAACTCACCCAACAGTCAGTTCCTGAGAACCTGAATGTACACTAATCCCACCATAAATGTGCCCAGGAAACCTGTTCAGTAATAAGGTAATCCTACTGTAAATATAGTCAGTATAAAGCAGAGAAGTGCTTCCTTTGCTTGGCTGTTTGCAGGTCAGGTTGATTAGGTCTGCAGGTCAGGTGAAATCACTCTCCTGTCCAGCTCCCACCTCCAGCACCCCTCAACCAGAAGGCTCGTAAGTCTCCAAGGGTCCTTCAGTACCTGACTTCTTGGCTGTGCTCTGCACCCCACCAGCACCAGGACTTCCAGGAGAGCCTGTTTTTTTACTCAACAGACTGTTGAAGAAGCTAGCCAACACCCCTTCACTTGCTGCATTATCTAAGGAAACATTAAGAAAAAAAAGCATCACACAAACTGGACAACTCAATTAAACAAATAAAACCTAGTTTTCAGCTTGGAATGATCCAGTAGTGGCTACTGTCTTCCTAGGATACTGAGCAATCATACAAGTCAGCATGATTAATAAGTGGAATCCTGTTTAGATTTCCCACCAGTTTGGAGGCACAATAGATAACCTGTGCTTTACATCATCTCCCTGTCCACAAGTCCACAAGACAGTGTTTTTCAAAGTTTTATAATCCCATAACAGTCCAAAGCTGCTGTGAAAAGCTCTTATCCAGAATAGAAGACAGCCATCAAATATGCAAGAATAAAATTTTGTTTTGAGGTCTTATTGCACCCAACATCTTTGGATATTAATTACTAAGTCAGTGGGAAAAGAGCTATTTCAACTAACAAGTAATAGAGCTTCACAAGAGAAGTGAAGGGGGGAAAGTCCCACAATTCATAAATGGTAATCAAATAAACATAATAAAAACAAAACTAAGGACTTAAAACACACATTTTAATGTGACTTCTTATACTGTATTCCTCTCCAAAGGAATCTGCACTGCCTAACCGAGGTCTTACACAAAGTCAGATGCAAGAGCCACCGATTCCAACAAAAAAACAGGCCTTGGCCTCTGCCAACCACAAGCCCCTCCCCTGAGAGAGGGGATGTGGAAAGCAGCCCTTCTTGGGGAAGCAAACAGCCCATGGTCTCTACCTTCCAAACCCAGCCACGCAGTCCCCACAGAGCTCAGGCCTAGGTCTAAGCCTCTCTCCACAGACACAGGATACATACTTTTGATGTTTGGATCCGGCTTCTTTACTGACGTGCCTGGGGAGGCACTAGGCACGCTGGCTGGCCCTCCCCGGCCCTGAGTTCTTGGAGAGCCAGAGGGTCCTCGTGCAGGGGATTCCTAAGTCCAAAACCAACCCAAGTCACACACAGGCATAAAAATAACAGAAAATACATACTCCAAAAATGAAACCATCAGTCTACAGGGTATTTTCCAGTCTAGAGAGAAGGATGGGAGTACTGGGCGTTTGCTCCCAGCTCAGTCCCTTTCTAGACCTGTTTCTCCTGAGAGAAGAGGTATCAAGATAACAAAGCCTGTTCACTCAAATCCCAGAGGAGTATTCCTTCCTCAGATATTTTCTGAGTTCCTACTATGTTCCTGGCCCTAGGCCTTCGGGGGACCAAATTCCCTTTGAAAATACAAAAGCCCACACACGCTCTTACAAATAATGGTATAAGATTTGAAGACACCCAAGACACTGGGCCTTGACCCTCTGTTTAAGGTACTCACGGAAGCTCTCGTGGGCGTGGCTGGCTGCTTGGCAAGGAGTGACTGCAAAGAGAGGGACATACTGGCCATTAACCAAGGCCTGCCAAGTGCACTGAAGGTCTGGAGAAACACTTCCAAGTATTCCACTAGAGGGCGCCATTAACAACAACCAAGTCATGGGTTTAACACTAAATGCAAAAAATGTCAATTGAGCAGTTTGGTATTTGGTGAAAAAACATATTCCAAGTAACCAGTTTTGAAGCTAAGAAAGCAAGGAGAGCACAGAAGGGAGGAACAGTTGGCAAAAGAACTGTTAACACCCCCTGCTGACCTGCCTGCTCCACCAGACATGTCATGTCTAACCCATATTAGACATGTCATGTCTAACAGCAGACCTGTGGCATGTCTAACAGCCCAAGTGAAACAGGTGAGACTGAGTTTGCATCCTGAAGGCCTCTGCTCTGGCCTCACTGGTCAGTTTGGGGAAGTTACTTTCCTCACCTACAAAATGGGTGTATCACCTCACCTGCCATCATTCCCAAGGCTGTAGGGGGCTATGTGAAATAATGGAAGTGAGTTCAGGGCACTTGCCCAACATGGGAAGTATTATGCCAGAAAACCTACATTTCCAGACAAAAAAGGTACTTAAAAAGATAACTGCCCTAGCCGGTTTGGTTTGGTGGATAGAACGTTGGCTTGCAGACTGAGGGGTACCAGGTTCAATTCCGGTCAAGGGCATGTACCTTGGTTGCGGGCACATCCCCAGTAGGGGGTGTGTAGGAGGCAGCTGATCAATGTTTCTAACTCTCTATCCCTCTCCCTTCCTGTGAAAAATCAATAAAATATATATATTTTTAAAAAGATAACTAAGCCCATCACTGTAGAATCTGCAAGGCAGGCAGGGATTCCCTGAGGCAGGTGGTCTAATCCCTACTCTGCACCAATTCTAGAAATGGAAGGAAACGGGACCTGCTCGAAACTCCTTTTGCAGCTCTCTGATGCCGGCGACCTCGCCCCGGGGAACTGGCATTTCACTCATGAGAAGGCCTCTGCTCTGGCCTCACTGGTCTTACCTGCTGCTTCATTAGGAACACCTGCTCATCCTCCGCTGCCAACTCTTTGTCGTGGACCAGCTGTGAAGGGAAGAGACACACTCATTTGTGGTCAGAGGTAAAGAACATCTGAACTACTATCAAAATTCATGCTGAAAGGAGAATCTTGGGCTAGGGTCTCCACATGGGTATGGGCAGAATCCCTGCTGAGACTTTTTCTGAGACCAGCCTTGGCATGTGGCCAAGTGACTTTGTAAAAGTCTGGTAGGTTCTAACACCTCCTAGGAGCAAGGGATCAACTAAGTAGTTCAGAGGTGGTAGAGGTACTGTCAGGACCTAAGGGGAAAGGTCAACCCCATTCCATCACTCATGCCCCACCCAAATCCACCTGCATAATACCACACTTCATCTAAAGACTTTTTTTTTCTAAAGCCCTTGGATTACTACCCCCTGACCCAGGATTGTTTAACGTGTAAAACCTGATTCTTTATAGGTTTCTTTTCCCATTAAAAAAATACCTGTAACTCTTCAAGTGATTGATTTGGGTACCTTTCTCACAGGAGGTTTCATGATAAAGTCTTCATATGCATCTTCTGGCTTCACAGTTGTGAAATTTTCATGTAAAATGGCTATTTTCTTTTCATTGTCCCAACCAGCAGGTCTAAAGGCAAAAAGAAAGGGATTGACTTGTTTTTCCTAGGACTGCCTTATAGTGTACAGAGCACATTCTGGGTTAGATAGGACTCCTGGATGAGTTCCTTCCCCACAAGATCTCATCTGCAGTTGCTGGGTTGGCTTGCAACTTTCAGTAGACAAGCCAAGATTTACTGCAGGTATAACTCATCACATCAACACTGTAGGCCCTGCTGGGATCTTACTGATTACACATGCTGACCCACAGCAAGTGTTCAGGGCCTTCCCACACCTCCATCCAGAAGAGCAAGGACACGATGGAGGCCTGTTCTAAGAGAAGAGAATGCAGAGACCAGCATAGAGGCCACAGCTCAGGATGGGACTGTTTCTCTTTGGCATGCAGGCACTTCTCCTGCGAGCTGTTTCTCTGAGAACTCTTCTTTCTGACAAGTTTCTTATGGATTGGTTCATACATTTTACTGGTTTGGGAAAATCTACCCTGGAGCCAAGGGGAGAACCACGACCTGCACTATCCTGGACCCAAACCAAAGGGACACAAAGAGTCCTACATGGATGCTGCCCAGCTTGACACCACAGGGCAAGATGGTACCCAGGATCCATTAAGTTAAGCCACAGCCAACAGACTTTCCTAAAGGAGCAAGTTTAAAATGTCCTACATTTGAATTTAGAAGTTCTAAAAGATGGTGACTGATTGTTCTCACAGGCCTCTCATTCTCCATTCAATTCCTGCTCCACAGCTCTAAAACCAAGGAAGTGCTTAGCCAGGGGTCTGCACCCAAATCGCTCTGCTGACGTCATCAGCTCCCCAAAAGGCAACTACCTAGAGGACCCAAAGTGCAAAGGGACAAGGTGTGAGCAAGATACCGCCATGACCCATGCAGCCTTCAGAAGCTGCAAGATACTTCTCCACTCCAGACCAGCCCCAAACCCAGCCAGTCTCCCTGCTCCTCCTGCTCCCTGGGGTCACGTGTGATCTGGGCACTGGCTGACTCCAAATACACACTGCTCTGCACTTGTGCCACTGACTGCTTTAGACAATTCTCTACTATCAGTTCAAGCCTCCAGGTTTGCTGTCTACAAACAGCCCAAGTGAGGTTCTCCCTGAATGCTTAGGAGGCAATCCATTCAGTCCCGAGCTCTTGGCTTTCACACCTTCAGTCTTCTCACAGACTGTCCCTCCTGCTCCTCCATTCTTTCTGGCCGCCTGGCCCACACCACTCATCCTTCTAGCATCACTCTCTCTGCCTTCCCTGCTGCACTGTCTCCACTATCCCACTACTCCCCTACCTCTCCTTGGCTGTGTGTGTGTGTCTTTATAGTGCCATGTGCAGGGACCGTCTCTCATTCATTTCTGTGTACTCAGCATAGATCCCAGGTACCTACAAAGTGCTCAGTATTTGCTGAATATCCTGTAATTCTTTAAGTCAAGAGAATATCTAAGACTAAAAACATTGATCTATGGCATAAGTCCTCTGAGAGACCACAGCTTCAACATTTATTTATGCATCCACAGCATTATCATTCTCCAGTGAGTGAAAGACACAAACTCGGGCAAACAGGTACCCAAATCCCTGCCCAGGGGCTCCCAAAATGTGAAATGCTGGAAACACACTAAGCAGGCAGTATAGCCGAAGCCCATGCTGACAGGGATGCCTGCTGATGACCAGAGAGAAACCAGATGCTTCGACAGAAAACATTCAGGATCCCCAAAGCGCCAATTCCCTCTACTTCAACTCCTTCCCTCAGCTAGTATTTTACCAAAGTAGACAGTAAGAGCAAAAATGGCTGGCTTCAGTTTTGGCAACTTGCTCTCAAGGACGAAAGGCAGCACCCGTGACCTCACGCTACCCACTTCTCTCAGGCTGGAGGCAGAATGGCCAGTAATCTGGGAAGGAGCGGAGAGGGAAATGTGGGTGTACCTATCACCTGGGAGGTCCAGCCCAAGCACCTTGCGCCAAGGCCGCAGAAAGCTGGCTGTGTAAGACAGAAGGCACCTTACTTGGAAAGATAAAAAGTAAAGAGCAAATGTACAGTAAAGAATTTGAAAGCATCACCTACAAAGAACTCACATAAAAACTGCATCCTTTTCCACAACTAAGGCAGGCGTGGTAAAGTGGAAACCATACGTTTTATGAACGATGTACTTATACAACAAGTCGAGGTTTTTTTCTTCCTTCACTGATGTGTAAATCAAGGCAGCTCCATCTAAGCAATCTGCTTAAGGAAAACCAATTCACTACAGGAAACAGAAGCAAACACACACAAGCACAATCCTCACAATATTACCCATAGGTTGACCAGTTTTTGATTAATACATAATCAATAGAAAAGCGTTGAAATTTTAAAAAACTAAAAGGATAATAATAGCAGACAAACCAGGTCAAAAGTAAAGAGTATGTTGCTAGTGGGCCATGCAGTTCCTTTTTTAACATGTAAACTTGTTTTCTGACCCATTAAGATTACTTCTTAGCAGGCAAGTTAATAGTTCTGAAGCTAGCCCAGGAAAACACCCTCAGTATATCCAAGGTACAGATTCTTTCCCACGCAGATGCTCACATGTGATTAAGTTTACCATTAAGCACGTTTATGAGATGGGTACCTACATGTACTGGTAACCACTACTGAACTGGACAAGCTAAAGGGTCCAAAGGAAGTGATAGGAACGTATCCCTCACTCCCACCCTAGGGAGTGGATCTACGGCACCAACTGCTATTGGATTTTTATAGATACTGGACTCAAGGAACTACTGACACAGCATCTTTCTCATGGACAGCACAAAACACTTGTAGCATCTAAAACAATAGTGTTGGGTAATTAACCCTTTCTGCAAAAGAAGCAAAGTTTAAAAAGCTTTCCAAGATATGATAAAAGTATCTTGGTAATAAATCAAACATCAGCTTCCTTCTTAAATATAAAAGGCTATCAAATATACAGCATTAAAAATAAAAGTGATCAAATATAGGCAAAAATTCTTAAGTCTCAAATTCCAACATAGTAATATACAAAACTAGTAAAAAGATGTATACATTATCTCCCTGGCAGGATCTTTCTGGATTCAGGAAGTACTTGTCTCCTTGAAGATGCTCCATTTGGAGGGAGGCCTGTGCCCCCGGGCCCCAAAGCAGCACCCCAAGGATACACTGGAGGCAGAACCTCCGTAGATGTGACTGGATAAAGTCGAAGTGCTCGTCCCTGTAATCATGCTCCTTCTCCAGGACACTCACAGCATCGCACTGCAGGGAAGACAGAAAGAAAAATGAGTGTCTTCTTCAGGAGTAAAGTATCACAGCTCCAAAGAAAGCCACAGGCAAAAGTCCAAGCATTAATTAGACAGACAAGAGTGAAAGGCAATTGGACAGCCCAGCCGGTGTGGTTCAGGGGTTGAGCACTGATCCATGCATTAAGAGGTCGCCAGTTCGATCTCCAGAAGAGCATGTGCAGGAGGCAGCCAATCGATGTTTCTATCTCTCCCTCTTCCTCCCGCCCCTCTAAAATCAATAAAAACATATATAAAAATTCTTAAAAAAAAAAAAAAGCAACTGAATATTTTTTCTTTTATCCTGGACCTGTTTCCATATCTGTAAAGCGGGAATATAAGAACCCTGATCACCTCACTAAGGTTCCAAGAATCAAACAAGGTCACATCAAGAACAGGCCTACTGGGCATGGTTGGGCACTGCACATTCCATAGGGCTCCATTCTCGCAAAAGGTACTCCCTATAGTTGGGCAACACAGTGGCTCTGACTGGGAATGGAGTACTTTTGAAACTCAAAATGTTTTAAAGCCACTCCTTTTTATTTTGTAAGAGACACAACTTTATTACTCTATAACTGAACTTAATTTCTATTCCCACTTCATCATTCTGCAGGATAAAAGAAACTGAAATTTCAAGTTTCCTTCCTTCTTTTCATAGGCTTATGTTCCTTTCTGAAAATCATCTCATGTCCAACAAACTTTACAGACCAAAGCCCAAAAGAATTCTGCTCTTCCATATATATTTTTCAACATTAGTTTGGGCTAGATGAACTGGTTTACACAGCCTTATGAAAACTTTTTTTAGTTCTAAGTTTGAATCACTCAATAAATTGACAGTGCTTCATGGAGAGATCAATCCAGGCTATGAGCAAACTGAGTTATGTCATGTTTCCAGCAACAATGTTTAAATGACATTTTCTATGCTGACATATTCAATGTACCTTAATGAATCCTGAATTAGAACAACTCTCCCTTGGGAAGACACCTAATTAAAGCTTCCCAGTTTCTTTCAGATGGTGACTGTTCACTGGCCAAATCAAGTCAAGTTTGCAGCTCCCTGGCACACACCTTTGTGCACACCACCAACACTGGGATCCCCAGATTATGAGTCAGCACATTGTCACCAAGAGGCAGGGCAACATTTTCTTCATCAGGACCCGAGGTCAGAGGCCCTCTTCTCTGTGGGGAACCTTGACAACCTTCTTCTGGTTCAATATAGTCTTGAAAATCTTTCACAACTATAGGTGAAAAAGGAAAAGAAAATTACACACAGAGAGATACATGCCAGCTTTAGAACACTGAAAAAAGGTAGGAACAAGCACAAAACAAAAAGAATTGTGACAAATTTCCTAATTGCATCCTACTGCAATATTAGGGATTTGGGGATGATGATATAAAATGCCAATTCTGACATATTCAGTTTGAGCATTATAACTTCAGAGCAGCAAAAACATTCCTCTGGCCTGGCCGGTGAAGCTCAGCAGTTGAGCATGACCCATGAACCAAGAGGCCACCAGTTCAATTCCGCATCAGGGCACATGCCCAGGTTGCGGGCTCGATCCCCTGTGCATGTGTGCAGGAGGCAGCCGATCAATGATTCTCTCTCATCATTGATGTTTCTCTCTCCCCCTCTCCCTTGCTCTCTGAAATCAATAAAAAATATATTTAAGAAAAAAATCCAAATGGCCCTTGGCAGAAAGTTCCCCACCCCTGCTCTACTTGATAAGCAAGGGAACCCCCAGGCATAAAGCAGGAAAGACTAATCTACACACAAGCACAATCTTCTGGCGGCTCTGGGGGTTGCTCTGCCCTTCCCCTCGCTCAGATGGGTCCTGCAGCCAAACAGCGGCCACAGATTCAGGACCAATGGAGAACCTAATTCTGCAAGACAGTGGCTGGCCATGGAACAGCTTTCCAAACTCAGCAGGCAGATGACTGGTGCTGGATTGGAAACTAGGTTGGATAACAACCCTTCGCTCATTCAATTACAATACCTAAAGTCCCATTAATCTGGAAAGCGTGAGTCCTCTGAGCAAAAGGATAGACAACTGCTTTATTAAAATGTAACCTAAAACCAGCAGTAACAAAGATACTCCTTCACCATGCAGAGGAGGGGTGGTGAAAACAAGAGAGGTCCTCAGAAGATTGACCAGAGTCATGAGGCATGGATTGGTTCCAGCAATTACTTGTTGCCTTCCAGTGTCCTTTCTCTTCTTCTTATAAATGAATCGAACCCGGATACTTAGAACACATGGCCACATAGACTACAGGCACGAGCCCTTCAGCCCTTCTTTCCTCTTCCTCCATCCTGCTGTCTGGAACAGGGATGTGAGGGTTAGAGCTCTAGGTGTCAAGAGGAAGAGAACCACACCCTCGAGATGACAAAGCAAAAAGCCAAAAGGAACCAGGGTACTTGACCTGTCTTCTTAGAGCTGCTTTCCAGGCCTGACCTGCCTACCTCTGGATTTCATTTACATGAGAGAGAAATAAACCTCAGTCTTGTTTAAGCCACTGTTACTTTGGGTTTTGTGTCACACGCAGCTGAATCCTAAGTGACAGACATCATCGACTAAGAACACAAAATTTAGTGTGTCACTGTCATGGGAACACAAGCTCCCAAGGAACAGGCATCTAGTCTGCTGTATGCACCCCCAACACCTAGACCAGACCTGACACAAGAAGGACACTTTTCCTGTCTGGAAGGAACAATATCCTTGGCTCGATCTCTATTTTTTTTTTTTCTGTTTTAACAAATCTACAAAGTTACATATAACTCTAAGAAAACAGGTTTGGAAACTGAACTCGTTAGTGCATTAACCCACTCATCTAGGCACGATGCTAAACATGCAGTGAAAGAAAAACTGCTTTTCAGCCTCAGAACTATTCTGAGAAGTTGTCTTTAGGATCTCTATTTCAGGGGGAAAAGAGGCTTTATCTAGAAAGGCCAGTGGCTGGAGACAGATGAGCTGAGCTGCATACCAATCACTGCAGCACACATAAACACAGCAAACCAAAGATTAGATGCAAAACTCCCTATTTAAGCTAATGTGGGACAGGAGCAAGTTAGGAAGTTATGACAGGAAGACACATAGCCAGAAATACCATTTGAAAAGCACACCAACATTCTGAACCCTTCTGCCAGGAAGTGTGAAGATCCCGTGTGCCATGCCCCAGAAGCCCTCATTAATTCACTAAAGGGAATGATGTCATCCTGTGGAAATAAGCCAAGCTGAGCCAAGCCTGCCTTGGCCAAGACTGCTGCTGCCGCCGCAGCCACCACAGCTCCAGTCCCTGCCCCTGCCCCTCCCATTTTCCTGGCAAGTGGACAGAAGCTGATGTAACTGCACAGAAGCAAGGGAAAAGAAAAACAAGCTTCTGAACCACATTAAAGAGAGGAAAAAAAAACACACAAAAAACTTCCTTTAATTTGAAAGTTCTTTGTTCTCAAAAGGACTGGGATATCCTTAGTTTTATTTATTTTTTTTTAAAAGCTTTTTTATTTTTTATTTTTTAAAATATATTTTATTGGTTTTTTACAGAGAGGAAGGAGAGGGATAGAGAGTTAGAAACATCGATGAGAGAGAAACATCGATCAGCTGCCTCCTGCACGCCACCCCACTGGGGATAAGAAAAACAAGCTTCTGAACCACATTAAAGAGAGGAAAAAAAAACACACAAAAAACTTCCTTTAATTTGAAAGTTCTTTGTTCTCAAAAGGGTTCTGGCATCCTTAGTTTTAAAATAGCCTTTCGTTTTAATGACAAAAAACATCCTTCCTATTTATATGAACTAAAATCATATTTGCTGGATCCCAAAATGAACTAAGGTAGGAGTGAAAGATGTGTCTGTGGGCTTCCTTTAAGCCTGCCAATAAGAGGGTCCATAGGGCCTCAATGGAATCCCAGGCAAAGGACTCAAGCTGCAGGGATCACAGTAAGTCCCCATACCACTGATGCTAACTCTGCAGGCAGAGAGTAATAGAAATATAAAAAGATGCACAGAACTGATCACAGTTGCGGGGGAAAGGGAAACCCTTATTTTACAAGAGAACCAATGAAGATAATACAAAATATTGGTTCATTAATATTCTTCAACTGTGACACTTGATATAAAAACTGCTTTAAATACTTTTTTTAATCCTCAACTGAGGATATTTTTTCCACTAATTTTTAGAGAGAGGGGGGGGGGGGGTGGGAAGAGGGGAGAAAGAGAGAAACATTGATGTGAGAGAGACACATCAGTTGGTTGCCTCCCTCACACACCCAACTGGGAGCAGGGAACGAACCCACAAGCCAGGTACAGGCCCTTGTCTGGAATCGAACCTGTGACCCTCTGGTGCATGGGCCGATGCTCTAACCACTGAACCGTGCCGGCCAGGGCTGCTTTGACTACTGATTTTACAGGAGCAACTGTAATGGTGCAAACAAAACACAAGCACTCTGCAAGGGAAGCTTTGCAGCCTCTCGACATTGTCAAAAGAAAGGTGGTTGGAACCACCCAAAAAGACCACTGAATTTTCCCATTAAGAAAACCTTATTTTACTTACACTTCCGTTCCAGCTCCCTCATTTCTTCTGGTGGAATTTTCATTTTATCTATGTGCTCACGTAAAACACTAGCCCATTTCTGCAGAGATTCCATCACAGCCCAAGGCCTAGACATGTCTGCAACAAAAATGACCAGGGTCTCCGGCAAGGATTCGGCAGAAACTGCAAACTTCAGCAGGCCTTTGTGGTATAGGTCTCCGTCCAGAATCCACACGTTACAGCGTGTGTGATCTAAGAAAGGAAGTGAAGTTAAGTTACTGCCTGACAATGACCACCAGCACAGCTGAAAGAAGAGCCACACCAGAAAACAACTGGAAGGTGACAGTCACAACATTCCACACAGAACACACATAGATGCTTAACCAGAAAAGGCCCAAGTGCTCAGTGGACAGCAACTCTTGGTCAAGATGCCTAGGGACCTGTCTAAACTAAACTTTTTAAACTACTCTAACTTATTGTGTCCACATTATAAAAAGATTCCACACTTTAGCTTTCAATAAGAATTAAAAGATACTAATAAATAAAGGCTACTGGTCAATTGTTCCATAGTCTAAATAACCTATTCTCCTTAAAACATCAGCAATCTGTGAGGGAGCAAGCTAAGCTGCTGAGCCTGTGGTTAAACATACTTTTTTTGTGTCAGTCACACTAAGCAGTACGTTCACATATTACGAAGGGTGCCAAAGAGACAGGACACCTTTGTATTTAAATGCTAAGATAAAATCATTACTTATATAAATTGAGATGTGAATCACTGGATACCTGATGATTTAAAGAATTACAATTATTTTTGATACAACAATAATATGGTCATTTTTAAAAATCCTTATCTTTTATTTATTTTTTACATTTTCAATCCTCACCTGAGGATATTTTTCCATTGATTCTTAGAGAGAGTGGAAGAGAGAAGGAAAGAAAGAGAAAAATATCGATGTGAGAGAAATACATCGATTAGTTGCCTCCTGCATGCGCCCGACCAGGGCCTGGGCCAGGGAGGAGCCTGTAACCAAGGTATGTGCCCTTGAATGAAGTCGAACCTGGGACTCTTCGGTCCGCAGGCCAACGCTTTATCCACTGAGCCAAACCAGCTAGGGCTAAAATCCTTATCTTTTAGACATACATATGGACGTATTTGCAGATGTAATGACATGCCTGAAATTTGCTTCATAATAATCCAATTTGAAGTGAAGGAAAAAAAGGGTGAGAATAATCTATATATACTAGAGGCCTGATGCATGAAATTCATGCAAGGGGCTTGGCCCTCGCAGCCACAGTTCGTCTGGAAAGTCGTTCAGCTGTCCGGTCTAATTAGCATATTATGCTTTTATTATTCTAAGTAGAAACCTAAGGGACCATCTGACCGGTAGCTATGACAAGCAATGACCACGAGGGGGCAGACACTCAACGCAGGAGCTGCTGAGGTGCAGTGATTTGGCAGCTGTGGGCCTCAGGTGACACACATGGAACCAGAGAGGAGGGAGCTTGATTCCGGGGTGCATCACCTGAGAACCGCCCCGTGCAACCTGGGACCCCTCAGGGGATGTCAGAGAGAGGGTTTCGGCCCGATCCCTGCAGGTTAGGCCGAGGGAACCCACCAGTGTACAATCTGTGCACCAGGTCTCTAGTAGTTAAAATAAAATTCATAAAGAACTGGTAACTATTGAAGACAAATGATAAGTAAATTGGGGTCCATACTAGTCTCTCTCTATATTGTATACTAGAGGCCCAGTGCACAAAATTCTTGCAGGGTTACGGTGCCTAGGCCTGGCCAGCAGTCAGGGCCGATCAGGTTCCCCGCCTCCCCCTTCCCTCACCACCCACGTGCCACCACCATGCGGTTCCCCGCCTCCTCCTTCCCTTGCTCCCTCAGCACCCTGCCATGTTCCACACCACTCCTTTGTGGTCAGCACACGTCATAATGAGCGATCAAACGCCCGGTCTCCTGGTCGAACTCCTGAGGGGACACTTTGCATATTAGCCTTTTATATATATATATATATGTAGAAGATTATATATAGATAGATACTTTTTGTTTTCCATTAATAAAAAGTTAAAAACATTCACACAATGTGCATGTGCTGACATTTAATGAAACATATTCCCAAAATCATAACTGGATGACCAAATTATAAAGATAATTCTCCAAATTGATAATATATCTAAAAAAAGTTGTCATGGTGTTTAAGGAAAAAATTTTTTTTTTCAAAAGTGCATCGAGGGGGAAAAAAAAGTGCATCGAGGAAGAACTCCTACGATCAAAATATAATGTCATTAAACGTATTTCCCAATAAATTCCAACATACATCTTAAAAATCTGTCTGCTGTTAACTACCTTTTTTTGTATAATCAACATACTGTAAAAAATACTTATTATCCTGACTTTATTTCAACAGTATAATAAGGTATCTACATCTAGCTAAACTTTCAAAACTCTAATACATTTTATTTTTCAATTACAGTTTACATTCAATATTATTTTGTATTTGTTTCAGGTGTATCAAAACTCTAATACATTTTAGATAGCAGTTTGGACTGGGTTATGTGAATTCCTTCAAAAATATTGCTTTGTATATAAAGGCCACAGATTTTAAAGCCTGCCCCTCACCAGGCACAGTTCCTTTTTTCAGTCTCTCTTCCCACTGCCCACTACACATAACTCACCCATATGCATGCAGATCATACACATCCCATGTGGAGTTAAACAAATGCCCCCAACCCTGAAGGCAGTGGTCCTTTGACATGTCATGTCCTACCACAAACCAGGAACAAGCTTTATTTATAACCTAGTCTCATCACATAATAGTAATAAAAAGCCTACAGCTGAAAGATATATAGTTAACCACAGATTCAAAGAGGAACCTGCAAATAGGTGGCCTAGAAAAAATCCCATAAATGCAAAGACCAAAAAGTTTTTAAGGAATCTGAAATAAAGTTAACATGTACTTCAACTCAAAGGCAAATGAATATGGTTAATATGATGTGTTGGCATGAAATATGCTTGTGCCATCTTGAAACAGGAGGCCTTGGAGTCACAGAGTATCTGCACCATGTTTTTCAAAAGGCACTATAGATACCACTGTGTCTTAAGCTCTGCGTTACATGTGATACATACCACCTCTCATCCTGTCAACCTACAAAACATATATTACCCAATTCTAAAAATGAGGAAACTGAGGTGCAGAGTGGTTCAGTCAGTCACAACTAGTGACTATATGGGTTTCTGAACCGGTTCTGTGTGGCTCCAATGCCCAGTTTCTTTTCACAATAACCATGCTGCCCAACAAAGACAGGAAGCAAAAGACTCAGACACACGAGACCCTCTAGGCCTGGCTCAGTTGTCCTACTCACGCCGATTCCATTCGGCCTAAATGGCACCTGAATGTCTCTGTCCTTTTTACACAAGGAGAATCCTCAGCACCGGGTCTACCTTCAACCTTTCTTTCACATCCTTCGGGGAATTTTCAGCATGGCAAAGGAAACTGGGGAGGAGGAGGAGGAATAAAGTCCCTGGAGTTCTAATATTACCAATAAGTTACCATTAATACAGCGCAGTTCTCCAAGCTTTAACAAGCAATCCTTACCCGAGCCCTCTTACTAATAATGACTCTTGGAGATCAAAGAATTATCATACTGGAAAGGACCTGAGTCCAGCTTCTTCATTTTAGCAATAAGGAAATAGAGGGCCAGAGGTGGTGAGATCTGCCCTCTTATATATAATCGCCCTTATATCATGATCCTTACTGTTTAAATGGGTAAAGGAAAACATAAAGAAAGTAATTTAGCCCGGCTGGTGTGGTTCAGTGGTTGAGCATTGACCTATGAACCAGGAGGTCACAGTTTGATTCCTGGTCAGAGTACATGCCCAGGCTACAGGCTCAATCCCCAGTGTGGGGTGTACAGGAGGCAACCGATCAACGATTCTCTCTCATCACTGATGTTTCTATCTCTCTCTCCCTCTCCCTTCCTCTCTGAAATCAATAAAAATATGTGTATAAAAAAAGTAATTTAATGACTATATTTCATCCTTAACTACATAACTTTCCTATAAATAAAAAGACCTAGACACCAATAATTATTTATTTTAGAGCCATTAAAATAAATAACAGTACAGGAGTGACTCCTGTACCATCTCCCTACGGCCCCAACCCTAAAGCCTAAGTTTATAAAGGAGGCAACTGAGTAATGGTAACCAAAAACCATTACTCCAATCCAGCTCATAATTATACTTACAAGAAAGAATTATGAGTCCTAGCTGGTTCGGCTCAGTGGATAGAGTGTCGGCCTGCAGACTGAAAGGTCCTAGGTTCGATTCCGGCCAAGGGTACATGCCCACATTTCAGGCTTGATCCCCAATAGGACGCATGCAGGAGGCAGCCGATCATTGTTTCTATCTCTCTCTTCCTCTCCCTTCCTCACTGAAATCAATATAAATATATACTTTTTCAAATGGTAAAATGATATCTAATCCTTATACGAGTGCTTACCATGCACTATTAATCAACCCAACTACTCTGTAGGTAGAAACTATTACTATCCACATTCTCGAGATGAGGAATTAAAAGAGAATATTATCACATATGAGCTCCTATTCTTTCCACTGAAAGAAACACAGGAAATTAGCATTTTTACACTGTCACAAAGAGACTCAGAAGAGTCTCCTGTGAATATTTGTTGAACTATTACATTCTGAACCACACCCATTTCAGATCCTCCACTAGAACCAGGCAGAGTAACAATAGATCAGTCTGCCATGCATTTCTCTCATAGAGAAGTTCAAAGCTTTTAAAACATCTTATTACCTTTATGTATATCTGGAACTACCTTCAGTGTCTCCTTGTAAGTGAGGGTTACCCAGAGCAGCAGCTGACAGCCCTATTCCCAATTTTCACTAACATACTCTAAAAAGAAAAGTGAGTAAAGTCCTATAAAGACATATACTTCATCGATTCCCCTGTGAATTATTCTCCAAGAAAGAATATACCTACTAAGAAGGGTTCCTGGTGGCTACTGGGCTCAAATTAAAAACACACACACAAAAACAGGATCTAGCAGCCATTTCTAAACCGGGGCCTCTCATGCAAACCATGCTTCAGGGAGAAGCTGGCACCAAGCTGCCTGCCTCCTACACTGACTGCCTTTCTGCACTGTGTTTCTGCCATCTGAGCCAGCCCTTATAGAGGAGTTCCTGGAATCCTGTAACAGCCAATAGGGCTGAAACTTCCCCAGTTCAATAGGAGCTACACAACTAAATCAGCATCTTCACTGACCAATCAGGGTCTAGGGACAGGGACTTCTGTCTATATAAGTCAGCTCCCCTCTATCTTGGGAAGTGCACTTCCCTTTTTAATGAAGACAGAAGACTGTGTTTCCCTCTGAAGATGTTTCACTAGAGCAGAGCAGAGCAGAGCAAATAGGTGGAGCAGAGCTAAGCTGCCTAGTGAAAGAGAAAGAGAGGCCTTGCCCCAGAACTTCCTCAAAGCCAGGCGCTGCTCCCTAACTGAGATGTTAACACCATTAAGCTGTTCCGTAGCTGTGCTGTTTTCACAATTGAGCTTTTTTGCACTAAATAAAGTTTCCTTTTTCACCACACCCCAAATTGGGGATTCCTGTTGGCGTTGACTTGGCAACACGACCACTGGTTGACAGAACTAAACAGAAAATCGAGAATGCCTAGCCATGTTGCAGGAGCTGCAACCAAGGTGTCAGAGCCCTGCATGCAACCCTCACCACGGACCAACGCTTCACTCACCATCTCGGTCCTCGTCATGGACGCTGAGGTAGAGATACTCTAGGCCTCTTCCTTTTTTGCCATGCTCAGCTCCTTGTAGTTTAGTCATGAGGGTTGTTTTCCCAGAACCATCTTCACCTACAAATAATGGGTATAAGACAAAGTGTACTGTTTACTGTAGGCAGGGATGAGGAGTCGTGACATTCACATGAAGAACTATGAATTTCCTGCAAAGCCTGCTATTGAGGTCTCTCACCTGCATTCATAAACAAAGCAGGCTTTGCTTGAAGAGTGGTTGGTGTGGGGAGGGGTGATAAAGGCGGCAAATCCCAACATCTAAAATGACATTCTATTGCAGTTGTCCTTATTTCACAAGGGAAGGACTAGAGTAGGTCCACAGGCCCTATCTACAATTTATAAGACATGCATTTGGAGAACTGAAAATAAAAGGTGGAGCTAGTTGCTCACAAAATAAACTTTTACCACAAGAAGAGCAAGAAATCTTCCAAATATAATTAACCTTAAAACACAGGAACTCTGAACTAAAAAAAAGTCTGATCCTGCGTCACAATGATGAAGAACAGAAGCTATTCTTCACTTTTCATTTTAGTATATCTCTTTCATAAGCATCCTGATGGCTAGGAAACTAATGAAAATGATTACAGACCTACGCAAAACTCTTAAGCACAATCTCAGTAATTACCAAGCACTTCCTCATCCCCCTCCAGCCAACTAACAACCACTCCCCTCCAAAAAACAAACCTTAAACACCAAGAACCACCACCACCAAGGAATATCACTAGGCACCCCTGGGATTTAATAATATGAACCTACAGGAGAACTGAAAGGCATTCCACAGATCAAAGGTCTCCTTCCCCATCCCCAACGCCACTGCCTTACTCAGGCCCTCCATCGGGACCACGTGGTACCCAGCAGGTACTGTCAGCCTGACTCGGGTACCTGCTCACGGTGAGCCACCTGCTCACGGTGAGCCACCTGCTACTCGGCTGCCAGAATTCCCTTTCTACAGCCCAGATCGAGTGCCTTGATACCCTACTTCTTGAAGATCTCTAAGGGTCCTCTCTCATCCAGTGCAATGGTCCTTACCTACAGAAGACCATCTGCTCCCCTCCCTGGAAGGGGAATTCCCCCCCAGGATTAAGGGAGGGAAGGAAGGGGAAATAAAAAGGTCCTTTGACAATCAGAGGCCTCCAGGGAGAAAAGCATCAGCTCCTCAGCCTTCCACAATCTACCCCCAATACACCACAGCAGTCATCTCACACAAACAACTTCCGAAAGCTCCCAAACCCCCACACTTTTTAAAAATATATATATTTTTAATGATTTCAGAGAGGAAGGAAGAGGGAGAGATAGAAACATCAACGATGAGAGAGAAGCATTGATCGGCTGCCTCCTCCAAGCCCCCCACTGGGGACCGAGTCCCCAACCCCCGGGCATGTGCCCTTGACAGGAATCGAACCTGGGACCTTTCAGTTCCCAGATCGATGCCCTATCCACTGAGCCAAACCACCCAGGGGCCCCCACCCCTTCTGGTCACCTCTGTGTTTCTCCAATGACTAAACCTTCTGTCCCCCTGCATGGTGACACTTATCCTTCAAAACACCTGACCCCCCCCCCCCCAAATCACAAATCACCCTTTCAAAACAGCACCAAGCAGTGTGATGCTCCCACGAGAATCTGCCTAGGCCTCACTGGTAGAGGGCAATCACCAACACATCTGTGTCTCCCCGGACAGAGACTCTTGTCCTGTCTGACAGCTCTCTGTGCTGCCCGGGGCCGGCCCACAGTTCCCACTCAACATGTGGGTTTTTGCCCTATGAGCGAACCCCGTTCAACTCCCCCACTTGCAGGATGAGACGGAAACCAGAGACGTTCAGGGCCCCGACCCCGGTAACCCAGCAGCGAGGGCTGGAATAAGGCAGTGAAGTCTCTGAGGCCAGCTGTTCTGTGCAGAGTCCCTTCAACTAACTTCGCATGGAAATCGAGGGGCGACTCCTGTACCATCTGCCCGACCCCACGCCACCTTGTTCCCCGCCTGCTCCCCCCGATTCCTCGCGTACTCACGCCCCACTTCCCGGTCACGTCTGGGGAAACTGGGGGTGGGGTTGCCAGGGCGGGAGCCGGGAACACTTTGAAGGAAAAGCGTTTATACTGCGGCCCAAGGGGACTTAAGGAAAAAAACGGGGAACTCCCCATTGCAAACCATGCCAGGCATTCACCCGGGGTCTGCAAAGGGGGAAAAACCCCCGGCCCTCCGGCGGAAGGGACCGGGGCCACTTCCCCCGGTTGTCCAGGCCGGGGGTCTCCGGCCCCCCGGCAAAGCTGGCTCCGGGCAGGCCGGCAAGGGAGAAAGCCCGGCGGGGACCCCGTGGGAGGGGTGCCCGCCTCCCCACCCCGGCTCCCCGGGCA